TTTAGTAAAATTTTTCCAGTTTGAATCATTGTTTTCATATATATATATATATAATATAAATATATATATATATATATATATATATATATATATATGTAAATAAAACTTTAAAAAAAAAAAAAATCAGATATCAGAAATTATGTCCCATTGTATTCATACTAAAAATTCCTTTTGAGTTTATTTGAAGTGGGATAAAAATAATGTATGTATATTTCATCTAATCCCCACCAATACATTTCAAATACACCTGATTTTCTCCTCCTCCTCCTTCTTCTCCCCCTCATCTTCTACCACACCTCATGTCCTTCTCTTATTCATTTATTTATTTTTTTAAAAAATAGAGTGTTCATAAAATATTTTATTTTTAAAAAATAAAACAATAGGAAATCAATTGACCAAAATCGCCTCAACATACCAAAAGGTTGAAACCAAGGTAGTAGAATCGGCTGATTTCCTAATTTTCTATTCTTAAAAGCTCTACATGTTAAATTTTTATCTTTTTATATATGTATTGAGCACTTTTTTAATACTACTGTTTCCTGGTCCAATTCAACTCTGACCATTAACTTCTTTATTATATATATATATATATATATATATATATATGTGTGTGTGTGTGTGTGTGTGTGTGTGTGTGTGTGTGTGTGTGTGTGTGTGTGTGTGTGTGTGTAAATATATAGAAAATAGGAAAGAACTCGTTAGGTAAATAATCCAAAGTTCTTTAGTATTTTTGTTATTATTTTTAAAAAATAGTGCTCGATACAAAAGTAGAGCATAAATATAATTATTTATTTAAAAATATGATTCCAACGCTACATAAGAGTTCTCATGTTCTAAAACAAGAGCTGAAAACTTCAATATAATTATTTGAATTAAATTGAATTAAAGTACTAAGCGCTGTTCCATCTTCAAGTGAAATATTTTGGATTCCAAAAAATGAATTCAATTTAATTGAAATAATTATATTGAAGTTTTCAGCTCTTGTTTTGAAACATGAGAACTCTTATAAAGCGTTGGAATCATATTTTTAAATAAATAATTATATATATATATATATATATATATATATATATATATATATATATATATATGTCAGGGGCATGTATGGGTGTATGTTTAGGCGACATAATTGACAATGTCTAGAAATTGTTAATCAGTTCCAATTACCATTGGGTTTGTTAAATTTACTTACTCCTATTTGAATTTTCCAGAATTTTCCTTAATTTAATGCTTGAATAAGCTCCGTGTGAGTATAAAATACCTGTGAGGAAAATTACCCTGTTGTATCATTAAATCTTTCAGCTTCACAACTTTAACAAGAATATTGCAATAACAATCATTATTTATTTAGTTTGCTATGTTCACTTAAGCGCAAATACTCTTGGGAAATGTATGAATCCACATCTTCTTCCCCCATCTATGGGCTAATTAGTAAGACTTGTATTAGTAAACAGTTATTATCTTCAAAAAACACAAAAAGATTCTTACAATCTTAAAATATTTGTGTCCTGGGTAAGACGATAAACTATATCCAACAGCAAGGTCTTTGATCAGGTTTTGAGGAGCATGGAACCACCTCTTAATTGCTGGTCAAACACTATGAAAGTGTAATAATAGGTTTTAATACCAGAAAAACTTTGTAAAAAATTATTACCAGCAATAATTTTTGAAGAAAAATTATTACCAGCAATACTTTATTACCAACAATACATTTTTTAAAAAAAAATATTACCTGCAATAAAAATTTTGTCGACATTAAGTAACCCATTGAGAATGATATGCCCTAATGCAAAACAAACCAAAATATACATTTTTGAAAAAAAAAATATATTACCAGCTATACATTTTTCGAAAAATATTAACAGCGATACACTGAAGCAAAAATATTACCAAAAATTGATTTTTGAGGGAAAAAAATATTACCAGCAATACATTTTTGAAAAAAAATATTACCAGCAATAAAAATTATTAGTATTAAATAACCCATTGTGGTTGATATACCATAAACCAAACCAAACTAAACCAAGTCAAACCAAACCAAACATAAAATATTTTCTGGCCTTAAATAACCAGCAAAGGTTGGTGAGCCATAGTAAATGAATGAATCAATCAATCATCCATTCTAAAGCATCATCAAACCAGGTCAGTACCTAGATAGGTGCCTACTTGGTAATACCAATGCTGTAATCTTAGATGTGCGGATGATGTAATGGGTAACAACTTGAAATCAGAAAACAGAAAGCCCAGTTCCAATTCCAGCCGTTATATCAACTTACGTGCAAATACCTTTGGGAAAGGTATGTCCCACCTCATCTCCCCACCAGCTATGGGTTAATTTGTATAACTTGTATCAGTTAATCATTATTATCTCCAAAATATCTTCTTACAATCTAAATATATTTCCCGGCTTTAAACAGCCTACAAAAGGTTGATAAGCCATAAAAAACAAATCAATCAATGAAGTTGAGTTGGTGAGATGCAACCATAAATTCTATACACA